TAGGACAATTAAGTAGCAGACAAGAAAACCAAGACAATAATCTCTTAATTAAACCTAGAATTCTCTATCATTCTGCAAAGAAGTATTCAGATTTGTCTTTGAAATACTCCTTTAATATCACTTGCTCTCATCAGCATTTGTTCAATATGATTTTATATTTTTTTTTACAAATTATTCTACAATGTTTCAACATATTTATTATAGCTTTTACTAAATGCAGACAAACACAAACAAACCCTCAAAATATACATATGCTATAACTTCTTTTATTTTAAAGTCAATGAAATATTTCTTCATGGATTTTACAAAACCACATCTGCTTTCCTATATAAGGCTTGGGTACTTATTTCCTATTTAAAATAAATTGTTTGAAATCAAACTTTAAAACTTCCACATAATCATCACAATAAACCAGAAAATTAATCCATCCTATGTCATCCTGGCAACCTATCCAAGTTAGTCAAAATTAGAAAAAGCACATAGCAGGCACTTTTATCTGTAAAAATCAAAACACTTTTAGTTTGGGGGAAATAGGAGTAGCCAAAAGAGGCTGACACTATCTACTCTTGGTTTCTTTGCTGTAGTTTACATTTTTAAAAACCAGTCATTTAAGGGAAACAAAAATGACTGTATTTCAAGAGAGACTGCAGTGTATTTGCAGTGGTTTTTCCCTATTACTGTCAATGTTCATTTAGAATTTTCACAGATGTGAGCAGTCCACAAGCTTCAGATAAATATTTTAAAAAAACGTGCCAAAAGCATCCTATGGCATTTTGGAATTCATTCATTGTCTGCAAAATATTACAGCCTATACATATTTAAATCTATAATTCATTTTGCAGAGATCCTCAGTAAGCAAGTAATACAGAGCATAATTTTTTAAAAAGTTTAAAAATATAATAATCTATTTTACAGCATAAATTGAATTCTTTATTTTTCCTTTCTGGGATAGTTTAATAAAAGGCACAATACTTTGAAAGCCATTCCTTCCTCTTGATATTTTAATTTCTTATATCACTACTTCCCAAATAATTCTGAACCAGAGTAGTTCCTTGTCCTCTCTTTGCTGCTGTCTGATAGTGCTCCAAAGGAGTGGAGTCCAACTTAAAAGAATCCATGTGACTTCTACAACTTCAAATCCCCAGAATGGTCCAAAAAGAGGAGTTGAGCGGAGCAGACTTTTCTAAATTTTACTCAACTGTTTGCTTCAAAAAAGATTGTCAGAAAACAGAGGTGAATCTGCACTCCTCTGTCTTCAGATAACTTTTTTGTGCAATAAACAAGCTTGAAAGTGATTTTTATATATATATATATATATATATATATATATATATATACAAACATTCATAAAAGTATCAATATTACAAAACACTGAATATCAAGGCACACTTTAGTTCAGATCATGTGTAGACCTGAGAGACAGCTAGGAATGCTTACTGCAACAACAGAATTAACAATTTTTGTTTTTTCTTAAACCCTGGCTCTACTTCTCTTAACCAAAGCAGACAGCATGCTGATAAGCTACCAGTGGTGGCATTGGGTGCACCAAAGAATATCAAGGGTTATTTCAAACAAAATTTTGCAGTTCTTAATCACAATCTTCTCTCAACTTCATGCAACTGTAAAAAGGAAAAATAAAACCTTGATCTATTTAACTCTGAGAACTCTCGCTACAGTCTGTGGCCTTACGAATAGTGCCTTGAGACAGGAAGTAAAATGCCTGGTTTCCCACAATAACAGCAGTCAGAGAATGTGCTGAAGAGCCTCATGTATCATCATAAGTATTCAATATCCAGGACATTTTCTGTTCATTGTACTTGAATTCAGAGAAAGACGACATAAGGTTAGCAAAACACAGCAGAGATTACTTGTCACTTTAAAGCATCCCCCTATGTAAACTGTTTTCTGTTGTAGGCTCTAAAGTACCAACACATCCTCCCAGATTGCACTGAGGAGTAGCAGATGAACAGTTCACTGATAAAGTACGCGATAACTCAAGTGAGTGCTAGCTACAAGTGCTTGAAAGTATTAACAATAATACACAAAGTCAAGCCCAACCATACCTAAAGCAAAGACCTGACAGCTCAGGTGGGTGAAGAGTCAGCTAGATCAAGAGTGTAATAAGGTAACACAGGTTTCTGTACAGTGTAACGGACCTGAGGAGAGAGTGTCAAAACAATGCTCAGAGCAAAAGCAAACAAAAAAATACTTCAATCTTTTCCAGTAGTGAATTCTTACTGCTTTCTGCATTGCTCCAGGATAAATATCAAGTGCCTCAGTCGATCCTATTCCTTTGATCTGAGACATTCTTAGTATGGGTGAGGGATTACAAGCCTGGGAAGGTGCAAGTCAGGGCTGCAAATCCATGTTCGTCAGTAAACCCGGGGCCAGACATCAACCAGCAAGAATCAGTCTATTCACTTTAGTCCCTCAGAGTTTCCAGGCTCAAGCTTCCTAGGATTTAACTCTCTAGAGTCCACCAGAACATCAGTGGAACTGCACAGGAAAAATCAGAGATGAGACAAAGGGAACCGAGTACCTAGGATCAGCAGCTTTGGGAAGCTTAAAATCCAGCTGCAGTGAGCACCTTAAACTCAGCAGAGAGCTATGTAACATAGTCTGCTGCTGCTCCTCTCTTCCAGGCTCCTCCAGTGACATAAATCACAGTCAAAGATCTTCACAGGGTCAAAATGGAATTGAAAAGTGATTTCAAATACTATGTTAATAAGTAGTAGCACACCACTGGAAAATAAAATGTAATTTATATCTCAGCACACATACACAGTCTGCTAAACTAGTCCCAGAGAGCACAAAGAACAGAATTTAGTCCAGAGATGATTAGCAGCTAAGTACATTTCCTTCATGTGCTTTTTATAACCTAAACATCATCCAATGCATATGTATACCAACTAAAATTTTGGATTGTCAACACTGCAATATTGTAATATAATAGGGAAAGAGAGTAAATACAGTCTTAAACACAGGGTGTGGGTGAGATAAATTTTGGCTACCTAATTAAAAAACAATTGTATTTTTTAAACTGTAACTTTCAGATCGCTACATACACAACTGCCTGTTAGATCCATTTTCAAATACTGTAGCAAAACATAAAGAAAAGCACCAGTGGAAATTTTAGCTCCACACCACGTGTTCAGTAGTGGGAATACTTATGAAAGGAGAAAACTCTGCACTTTCTGAGGTCATTTTCCTTCTAAGTCCCCCAGCATTCAGATGTCAGTATTCAGTTGCAAGAGCCTGGCCTCCTACTGAACAAAACTGCCACGTGTGGATAACAGGAAACCGCATTTTTTTTCAGTTTAAATACAAAGATTATGGCAATATAGAATTAAAATGTTTCTTTTTTTTTCTAGACTATTGTCAGATTTAGGTCTATCATTTTGTCATTATTCCACTAAGCCACATGAAATACCAGTTTTCGATTAAGTGCTGTTATTCCCGGTTCAACTCACAATCTTCACTATTTTGGATGCTGAGGGATCTTACGCTCAGGCAACAGCACAATTTAATATCAGTCTCTGTACTAGTTGACAGTCATTTATCACTTCCTACCCAGGTATACAAATCAAAGGAAATCCTAAATCCACAACCTGGGACTGGGTCCACGCAGAAACAAGACAGGACATACAACAAGAGACTCCTATTTAACCTATCATGGGTAAAGAAGAGGAGACTTTACCACAGACTACTGGCAATGTAACGGACAAGCAACACATCCTCGTAGACTAGACAACAAAATGTTCACTTCTTAACAGGAAACATGGACTATTCAATTGCATGGATAACCAGTACTGGCCAGTCCCTGAAACCTGTAACTTTCATGATCTCACTCTGTCAGCACCCAGGATATACTTCAATTTTATGGCCTCTGAATGTACAACCCAGTAACAACTCTGACCTTGGCTATTAAAGTATTGTGTTGAAACAATCAATGGATGCTGCTGCCATACCCAAGAGTTACTGTATACAGATCTCCTGTTTCCAACCTCACAAGATTCAAAGAGAGCAGACAATGTAGGTGCATATTTATTTCCTAACATACAGATGTGTTTTCAGCAGTTGTACATCAGTGTAACTCTATTAAAATCAATTACTTGATTTTGGTTTATGACCATGTTCTTCCTGATTCCAAAATTCCACAGTAAGATTATTTTTCAGTAAATGTAACTCAGGAACACTAATTAAATGTGCCTTAACTACAAACTGGGAGTATGGACAAATAGAAGCTACAGGACTTTGTGCTATAAACTGTTTATGACACTTAGACCCAGTAAGATGATCATTCTTCTATAGCTGTCAAAACAAACACTGATTCAGGTATGCTCACTGCTCAACAGCTGGCTATTTTAGATTTGCATCAATACACAACCAATGGACTATGTAACTACAAGGGAAGACAGAAGCATTATAAAAAGGTTGAGTTGGTATGTCGTATCATCATGAATTAAGATGTCTCTGCATTTCATTTGTATGTCTTCAGACACATGATAAACACAAAGCACAATTTAATATGCCTGCAAAATGTTTTCTTAGGAAAATTTCTACGACTGCTGAGAATTTCAGCAGTAACATACAGGAAACACTGGACAAAACCATGAATGCTTCACTCCCAATTTTACAAGTTTTCACCCCTGGAAATATTGATTTTTAGCTGAGGATTTTTTTTTTTTTTAAGCCAAGAGATTTTATACAATGATTCTAGCTACTCCAACCAAAATTTGATGAAATTTCTTTAAACATCTAATCTAATTTAAACAATAATTCACTGTTTAAAAATACAGTGACATTTCCTGCCTTGGTCCACATTTAATACAATTGAAAGAAACTGAGCACTACCAGTTCTCCATTGCTATATTTAATATAATGGAGAATCGTGCAACTACAGGAGAGAAACTTTTACTCTGAAAGGGTTTATGGACCACAGTGATCTCTCTTTTTCCTAGAAGTAACACCTTTATACTGAAATAGCTGCTGTTCCTTACCTGAAAAGAGTTCATGAATCGAAGCGAAGGTGGCAGAGAAGTAGTACTCAAACCCAGTATCAGCAATAATTCCAAACATGTTTCTGATGGAAACTTTAAAGGATGAACTCCAATATCATTTTCCCATGCATCAGCAAGGCTATAAAGTTAAAAAAAAAATAATCATTTTCATTCTCTTAAAATATATCTAAAACTCAGGTTTCAATTAAGTATTATAATGTGTCATAGTATTGTGATAAAACATTTTCTTCACATCTTCCCTGTAAAAGTCACAGATAAGTGTGTTTTACCAGACATACAAGGTGCATTAAGAGTACCTTTCCCGTATCACCGATCTTACAAAAGGATATGTTTCTAATTAAAAGTCTGATTATTTCTGAACCAAAGTTCATCTGCCACTGTCAATTTCCCATTACATGTTTTTACATATGAAGTATTCTATACAGAACATAATGCATCCACTTTTAATTTTTTTTCTAGAAAGACAGGTCAGACACTTCCAAAAAGACAGGTCAGAAATAATTTTCAAAACTGATGTTTATAATGCTTTTGCTGGAACCTTACTAACAGTCTACACAAGGCAAAAACTCAATCCCCGTTCATTTTATACAGCTTCCTGCTTTAGATGTTATTAAAATAATTAAGATTTCTAGAGCTAGTCATAAAAACAACATTCTGAAAGCACATTTCCATAAACTGTTCCTGCTACCACATGCTGAAGAAAAAGATCAGCTCAACGAGATTAACTCAAAACACAGAAACGTTCCACTTCCTATTGTTCAGGCTTGTTTCTTCCTTAATGCACAAACTGATTGATCAGTGATGCAGTTAGTTTAATAACCTTATCTGAGCAGCTAGTACCAGACACTCCAGAGCAAGATGAATGACGATTATTCTCAGCAGGTCCGAGAGCAACATTTTGGAAGATAATGCTTGCTACCCTTCCATGTCCAAGACTTCACTATTCCAATAATTTTAGCATCAGCTCTCACTTTTAAATTCCTCCAACTCTTCTAGAAATATATTACTCTGACTGAACCACTGTTCATTAATATATAATCTTGTTTCAATATCCCATCTAGAAATAGCCGCATTTTTTTAATCACCTAAAAGAGTAGGCATCACCATTCAGCATGGTGCAAACTCAGCAAATACTCTCTTCACAACATCTGTGTCCTTTTGGATGGTTCTCATTCTCTGAAGCCTCTCAAACCCACCAATTATCTGTAAAGTCCTGCTTCTCAGATACAGGGTTGCATATACAGGTTTTGTACATACACTTCCACTATTAACTATTCCTAACACCTTCTTAGTTAGGAGACAAAGATGTTCTAATTAGCATAATCTACACATCTATCTTCAAAGAGTGGGTGTATTTTCACTTTACCTCCATTTGTCTTAAACTGGCCTCTTGAATTTTAATTTTTTTTTTCTTTCTTAATCTTTACATTTTTTCTTCCTACCTCATTTATCTATGGATATGTAAGAATCCACTTCTGCTTCAATACACAGAAGCAAGACACATTAATGCACACAAGGTCAGAGGGGCTTCCATCTCCCTAAAAAAGGAGTGGTTTCTCTCTTTTCTTCTTTTAAATCCACAATAAAAGACAAAGATAATTATACCACTCCTAAATTATCAAATGTACCGTGTCTTTTCTCAACCCTCACCAAAGTGAGTGGGTCACTTTCACATTAGGAGGTCTAAACTATACATGGAAAGGAGGAAAGAAATCTGGGCCAGGCACCCTCTGGCACTTCTAATGGCAGTTGCATCACTTAAGGTCTCCACACATGGCTGAGACCATCCATACTAAAGCACAGAGGAAAAAACCTGCTGCCTATTAACAGCCTTCATAACAAGGATCTGGAAAAGCTGTTTAAAGCTATCACAAAAAAGCCTGTCTGCTAGGACAGCAAGGTGAGCAGTTTAGAACTGGAGTATTTTCACTATTGAAAGGTACACACCTCTAATTAAGCCACAAATACTTTGTCTAATCGAAAGGAAGCAGGATTCTTTCAAAAGACTATGCAAATGGACAAGCCCAGTAAAGGCAGCCTTAAGTGGTCCAGAAATTCTGTAAATGCTACAGGAGGAACATCTAGCCTTAGATCATAAGCACTGAGCAGCCAAGGAGTCTTGTTAACTGTAATCCAGAACTGAGTTTTATATTTCATTATAATTTGGTAACTGAATTTCCTCACATAATTAGAAACTTGCCTTTGTATGTTCCTTACTAGGTTTTGTTCTACGTTTTTTTATAATCTTGTCTGGTGATACAGGCAAATTTAGGTGAAGCTAGCAAAACTGGGGTTTCAGTTTTTCAGAAATCAGCAAGTCTAAACAGCACTGTGCAGCACCTTCAAACACAGAGAGTTTGGAGACTGGGGGTGATATGTTAAGCATCTGGGTCTTGATGAGGTGTTTCCACAGAACAACATCCTCTCTGCAGAGAAGCTTTTCAGAACTCCAAGCAATATTCAGAACATCACAACTTAGTTCAGTACTGATTCTATTCTTGTGTTTTGACTTGAGGATTTTTTGGAGCTGCCTCCTCATTTTAAAGTCCAACTCTTACAGCCCTGTCACGGCACTGGGGTGGGGTTTTTTTGTGGCTGTTGGCTTGTTTGGGGAAAGACTGTTTGCATAATGACATCTCGCCTATTATACTGCAATTATTGTTTATTAATGGCTCAGTTACTAGCATTTCCTGAAACAATTGTAGTGTATTCCCTTATTACAAGCAAACCATGTGTGTTCTAGCACTTACTGCTCCAGGAACACTCATGTTAGGAATTAGTCTTCATGACTTGTCCTTTCATAGCATTTAACCATGTGCTTGTAGGAAGACACTGCTTCATTAGATCATGTCTCTTTGTTCTGCTTTACCCCTCTTACTCTTGGGAGTATTTTTCTATAATCTTCATTGTGATGGAATGAAAGAAGAAAAACACCTACGCTTAAAACAAAAGCAAAACAAAACACAAATTCCCCCTGTTTTTCCACCATAGTTTCACAGAACCTGTCGGTATAGAAGAGTTGTCTCACAGTACAGGAGAGAAGATTGTTTGCTTTCTGTTTACTGAAAGAGGCAGATTGGCTGATAGTGCTTCTTCTCAGGAGAGAGTGAGCATCCACAGAGGACGTCTGAGTCCATCAGCTCAGTGCTTACTCCCAGACCAATTGCAAATGCCAACAGTCTGAGTTGGCCCAGAGTTTCTCAGCCATGTAAACAAAACTGTGTTTTTCTCTCCTTTTTTCTTAAAAGAAAAAAGAATAATTCAATTTGACATTAAGATAGGGTAAATTGTCAGAAGGAGTTTTTGGGAGGGCTGAGGAAGAAGATGGGAAAGAAACCAGTAGGACTCAAATATGTGCATGGTAAATCTGGATGTAGACAGGACTCTGCATTCATGTGCTTCCTTTCTCTGCTCCTTACTACCTCTACTCATCAATTAATTCTTGATTCTAATCTTCCCTTGAGAGAAAGCAGGCTGAGACAAGCCTGCTCCTTTTGTGAGTAAAGGCAAGAGCCAGCAAAATTCCCAGAGAGCATAGCACAGCTTGCTATGCTGGCTGAAAGGAATAAGGGGAAGGTAAAACAGATTAGCTGGAGGAAGGTGAGGTTAATAAGAGAAATAATGCTATTTTATGTTCTTCCTTCTGCAAACATTCAACTTTTCCACACTTCAAAGAAGCCTTGAGATTCTGGACTTCCCAGTCTGACAGAAAAAAAAAAATACGACCCTCAGTAACAAATACAATTCATAAATTCTACACAGATTCCCTAAATCATCACAGGGCGCAAGACTGCGTGTACTTTGGACTGACTTTATGACAGGTAAAATCTCACCACACATATTGACCTTGACAGTGTTTGAGGGAGATGTGAGTCAGCTTTAGAAACCAAGCTTTAAAACAGTAAGATGTAGTAAAACATACTCAGTAAAATGGTCTGAACTAGGAGCATGCTCTGAGTTAAGAAAAGGACATGTCAGAGTGAGTTTTTTCCCAGGACATTAAATCCACCTCTGTAAATCATCATCATCATCCGGTTTTGCCTGTCAGTCATCTCACCAACTAGAAACCCCAAATCATTCTAAGCATCCTGTCTGTCACTCTAGCCTTAACATTTTCTCCCTCTTTTCTTTATCCCCTGCTTCCCCAGAACTTTTAAATCACTATTTCAACATATTTTCTTAAGAAAGATCTCAAAAGGGGAAGTTTCATGTTTTCCTGAAAATAGGTGTCTGAGTAGTGAGTAGTTACTTCACGGAGAAAAGCTGCTGCTGAAGCTCAGCAACACATATACCAAATGATCAAGTGATGCTTACCTGGGACAATATTGGCATAAACTCAATAATATAACATTTCTGTCTAGCACAACCAACTACCATAAGCAAAGTAAACACATTCCCCATAGCCTACCATACTCCCTAAATGAGTGAGCCATACTGTAAGACTTGGTGCTTTTATTTAAATACACTCAATTTTTTGAGTTCAGAACAACTGGAAAAGAAAACCTCTTAAGTTTTGGGGCAGGAAGAAAGGTTGGTGATAATGGAACTGATCTCCCATAAGAGCAAGAGTCAGAACTCTTGCTGGTGTTATCCAAACTTGAGATGCAGCCTCTGCAGATTAAAGTGACAACTCAAACTCACCCCTTCTGTTTCATCTACAAGATATACATTAGTCTCAACCATGAAAACACAATAAACAGACATAAGATTAAAAAATGTAATTAAAGCCTTCATAAAACTTTCATTTTGAGAAAGACAGAACTGTATACGATGAATGCTAATCAAACTTTTTGTTTAATGTATTTCTGGCATACATTTCAGAACTGAAGTAGTACTGAAAGTGAACAGCGTAAAATTCTACTCAAAGGGCAAGATACTTGGCTACTGTGCACAATGCTGATACAAAATAACTATGTGCTATGTGCTAAACTGTCAGAATGGAGCATTCAGAACAGATATGAAATAAAGATGGAAGGCTAGGACTATCTTCCCCCTTGTACTTCTAAGAAATGTGTTGTTTGAAGGAGAAATCTAGAGCATGATATGGTTGTCAAGTTCCCATAACCAGTCAAAGAATTACAGCTAGGAAAATTCCTATAGTAGTATGTGAAAGATATT